TTTTTTTTGTTTTTTCATATAAGAAATTAATATAATAATTAGAATATTTTTAAAATATTGAGATCTTTATATTCATAAACAAATTTTCCTTATAAGACATATTTTTTATTTAGCACTAATATAGTTTCCTAAATGATAGGAATCTGGTGTATATTATTGAAATATTTGAAAAATATTTAACAAAAAGTTTGACAAGTATCCGATTGAAAATTTAACCCGAAATTTTTTGAAAAACCCGACCCGAATCCCTTGTGTACTTCTCTTTTACTATAGTAGGGATTAGTACGTATTTATTGTTAGGGCAAGAGAAAATCAATTATGTCCAAACTGTTACATGTATGTTTTAAACTTAGTTTATGTCCAAACTGTTACATGTATGTTTTAAACTTAGTCAGTACGATGCAATTTACTTATAAGTTTCTATTCAAAAATTAAAATTTCTCAAATTCAGGTTTCACAAAAATTGTACCATTAACAAGGAGGGAAAAAAAAAACTTAGCAAAGATTGTCCATGTTCTTCTTCACGATCACAATATAATTACATGCCTACACACACAAAAATTAACTTTAGGAAAAAAAATTATAAAACCAGCAGCAATACATATCTCAGCTAAATTTCGAAATCTTTTTGATTCGGATACGTCGTAAATTTGCAATTTATTATTAACAACATTTTTTCTTTTTCGAATAGTAATATGTAATATATATATATATAACATATTATAAGTTTCAAGAAAATACATTAGAAGGTAAATATGGGCTGTCAACTAGTGCTGTTATAAAGCATATACCGTGTTTTCAAATCTGTATATTATGAAAATTTTCAAAAGAAAAAATTATATAACATATGAAATTTCAACTAAGTAAGAAGGTAATTATGGTTTGTAAAGCATTCATGTTTTCAAATGTAAATTCTCTTAATAATTATGTATTTATAGAAAGTTTAGAAAGATGTATGTTTACATGTCTACTCAAATTACATTTGCAGAATAAAGATTTTGAAAATTTGAGTCGGTGGGTTGATTCAATGGATGAAAAACGATGAAATATATAGAAAGTTAGTAGTAAACTTAATTAGTAGTAAACTTAGTAAATAAGAGTTTCCTAATTGAAAAAGTTGTGGTCTTATTCAAAAAGCAAAAATAAAAATGGTAATATATCAAAGACTTTTGTGCATGGAAACAACATCAACACGGAATACATAACTTAATGCATTTCACCCACTTGACACACACTGCATCTATGATTCTCTATATAAACCAGAGGATCAAACATTAAGAAGAACATAAAAGAGAAGAAGAACAAAGAGAAAAACTAAGTATATAATCATTCTTGTTAAATACTACCAAAGAAATCAAGAAAAATGGTTCTTACAGATGCTCAGATTCTTGAGCTTAAGGCTGACATGGGTCGTATCGAAGAAGTAATAGCGAAACCTGAAAATAAGGATAAGGTAAAAGTGTTTCATTTTGATGATACTCTTATAATCAATTAACAACTTTATATGTATATTTCCATTGTTACCTTCTTTATATAATTCACTAGACGTTTTTTTGTATAAAATATTTAGGATTGGCGTGAAAACAAAGAAGTCAACGACATTGTCACTGAAATTATTGCAAGGTTTGGTTCTGTAGAGAAAGAGGCTGCGATTCTCACGAAGTTTAAGGATGAGATAGATCGTGTAAACGAAGGAAAAACAGACGATGTTGAACTTTTGTCGGTAAAATATATCAATCTAAATGCTCTAAAATTACATATAACAATACATATATGTTATTAATTTCTTTTGGAGTGAATAATTAAAATTGCTATTTGGATTATTGAATTTTTTTAGGATTTGAGCCAGAGAATGCACAAAGCTTTTGAGGAGATAAAGGCTTCCTCTTCTAAATAAAGGAATAAGCAAGCTCCATGGGATGACAAAGTACTAAAGAAGAACAATTAGTAGTAATTTCACAATATTTGTCGTTATTAATATATGTTCATCTATCTTTCCTTTCGTAATTTGTATGATTCTAATATACAATCAATAATAATGAAGTATTTTCTACTAATTTAGATAAAAAGACATAACTACACATCTTTCTTTTATATAAATAAAGAGTAACATGCACTTTGATATATTAAATAAAAACTAATATGTTTTTCCAGTAAGATAACTCGAGATATATATATACTAACCATGAAAACACATAATTAAGGATTATATTTTTTTTTTTTACTTTTTTTTTTCTTTTTCTAATGGGTACTTTCTCTAATTAGGTATAAAAGAGTGGTATTTCAATTTTGATGAGTAAAATTAAACTCTGTATTTAGAAAGTTTATAGAGAGATAATGCATGGGTCACATATATCAAAGAAACCATTCTTCCATTTCTTCCAAACTTAATTGAAATATTTAATTTTATGTATGCTAAGTTAATTTGATATGCTAGAAATCATACAAAAGTAATAAACAATTAGTAAGTTAGGGCAATAGAAAAATCAATTCTGTCCAGTAACGTATTAAGGCACCACGGACGACTAAGTATGTTCAGTGCCTTCTTACAATATTCTTTAATTGTCACGATGCAATTTATTATTCACAAATTAGTAAGATTTTCTAGTAATAAAATAACAAATATATAACACATGCAGATTCAAAGTTCTTCAAAAATTGTACTAATAAAAACGTGGAAAAATACGAAGCTAAAATCCAAGATTCATGTCCATATTGTTCTTCTTCAAGATCGCAATATAATTACACCAACAAACAACTACTATTGGAAATAAATTATAAAAACGTTAAAGACGTGTATGTGTAAATTCATAACAAAAATTTATGAAACATATGAAATGTCAACTAAATAAGAAGGTTATGTTTTGATAAAGCATGACGTGTATTCAAATGTGGAATTCTAAGTATTAGGTATTTGTAGAAAGTTTAAGAAACGTGTATGTGTATATGTCTACGCACATTACATTTTCAGAAATAAAGCTTTTGAAAATTGAGTCGGTAAGTTCATAATGGATGAAAAAGATGAAATATATACAAATTTAGTTGTAAACTTAGTAAATAAGAGTTTCCTAATTGAACAAGTTGTGGTCTTCATCAAAAAGCCAAGTAAAAAAATGGTAATATATCGAAGACTTTGTGTGAAAGAACAACATCAACTTGACACACATTACATCTAATATTCTCTATATAAACCAGAGGATGATCACAACATTATAAAGAACATAAAGAGAAGAAGAGCAAAGAAAACAAATTAGGTCTAAATCTTGCATCACTCTTTTTTTTTAATACTACCAAATTACAAACACAAATCAAGAAATGGGTATTACAGATGCTGAGCTTCTTGAGCTTGAGGCTGAAATGGATCTTGTCGAAGATGCATTGGCACAACATGAGACGAAGGAGAAGGTATAAAAAGTGTTTCATTTTGAAACTCTTATAATTAACCAACAGCTTTATATTTCCATGGTTTTGTGTGTACAAAATATATAATTATGTTTTATTAACTATATTTTTTGTAAAACAATTAGGATTGGGAAATTAAAGTGATCAATAGCTTGATCAGTGTCAGGAGGTTTTATAATGAAGAAAGAGACTCATAAGGAGCTTCTAGCTGAGCTTCACAGTATCAAAGAAGCCAAAACAGTCAATGAAGAACATTTGAAGGTAAAGTATCCATTTAAATGTTCTTAATTATAATTATAACAATGTAAACAATTTATACATAAGTTAAATATTATTTTCTTTTGGAGTGAATAATAAAAAATGCTAATAGGATTATTGAAATTTTTTAGGATTTGATCAAGAAAATACGCAAAGCTATCGTGGAGGAATATGGATTACCCTCTTCTACATAAAGGAAAAAAGCAAGATCGATCATATGAAAAAGTAAAGAGAATTGAATTAATTAGTAGTAATTTTCATTTTATTGTCGTTTATTTTCAACCTTAAAAATCTAATTAAATTTAGGTTTTATTGGAAGAATGAATATGTGGTTTGACATGTCATTTTATCTTTGTTTTCGAAATTTGTAAAATTCTCTATATAAATCTTGAATAATATACAATGTGTTTTTCTCTTCTATTCTTTTTCGATTTCCCTCTTTCATGTAGATGAAATTCCAATTTTCAGATTTTTTTAACTGAACAAATTAAATACACATCTTTCTTTTATATGAATTAAGAGTAACTAATTAACAATTTGTGGTATTAAATAAAAAGTTATACTATGTTTTCCTAGTAATATAACTCGAGGTATATATAAAGTTAGCAAAGGAAGTTGAACTAAAGATGAAAATTCATTAGCAAAGGAACTTTTGGATGAATTGTAGCAAAAAATACCTCAAAATATAGTATAACTTTTTATTTAACGAATCCAATGAATCAAATGAATCCTTTGCTAATGAATAACATGTTAAATAAAATGTTCCTTTGCTAATGAATTGTAGCAAAAAATACCTCAAAATGAAAATGAATTGTAGCAAGCTGGATTCATTATATTCCAACTTCTGGTTAATAGAATATTCAAACATACATGAAACACGTACGATATACAAAGGATCGAGTTCGAGGTTGACCACGTACGATATACATGTGTGACATATTAATAGAATAATTAAAGGCTATCTAACTCTGAGAGTCTTTATTGCCAGACTCAATGATCTTGCATGCGCTTTTGGGTCGACCAATATATATATATACCCTCTCGTAATCTTGGTGCACCTATTGATGGTATTGAATATATTGGAGTTTTGAATGTTTGAGTTTTGAATCATGTTGGATTTCTAAAGAAATAGCGTTGATAAAAACCAAAAATTAAACAAAATCTTATTCCAATGAAATTGTTAAATTGTACATATAAAATAGCATTATAGATCATCAAATTCTATCAACTGTAAAGAACGACTAAATGATTTCACAAAGTTGTTTTATACCATCTTGTACCAATCATCAAACCGAAACGGCTACACATTTAGAGAATAAATATGACCTGGGGATCTCATGCACAATATTAAGCCACTCCGTCTTACCCCAAATCTCATCTTTATGGCGATTCTCTAACGCAATTTTAGCGCACCAAACATTAGATTTCCTGTTTTCACTATCTTTCTCATGAACCTGCGTCCATATAGCTACAAGTTTCCCACCACTGTTGTGGATTTGTTTTGTACCTGAACAAAGTCTTTCCAAACCCTTGATCTCTCTCCACACTCTACCCTCAGAGTCATACCACTTAATATGCCCCAGATAAATGTACATTACATTATCTATCACACACGAATATAACAAATGTATCCGACTTGATTCCTCTCTTACAATTTTCCATGAACCATCTTTGGGATCATAAGTGTAGTCATTGTCACGTGACGCTACGTAAAGCTTTCCTATAAAAGCATCAGGGTTAACCTCAATATTGTTAAGGCAAAGCTCATGACCCGCACCAGGACTCGGCAAGGCTCTCCAAGTCTGAGTCTTTATGTCCAATACCTCAAACCAATTGTCAACATCGCAACCTCCCATCACGTATATTTCCTGGTTGATGAGAACCGCATGTTGAAGTATTCGAGCTACCGTCATGTTAGGCCCGTCACGCCATGTGTTACTTCGACAATCAAGCATCCTAACTGAGGAAGTTAGCTCATCCCATCCACCAATTACGTAAATATCGGAACCAACTGCTACGGTTGATCTATTTGGTAAACGTAAAGGATGGGGATAGCAAGGTACGATATACAAAGGATCGATGTTGACCACGTACGATATACATGTGTGACTTATTAATAGAATAACTAGGTTCGGATCCGCGCTGTAGCGCGGGAAAAATAATTACAAATATATAACTTTTAACGGATTATAATATGTTATATTTTAATTTTATTACAATGCACTCGATTACGGTGAATCATATATTTGTGTAATAAATTTAAATAAAATAATAAACGAAAAAGCTAGTAAATAATAATACATTGAGTTTTGATACAATTAAAAAAACAGTGAAAATTTAACAGCACGAAAGAATATTTATCGATAAATTAGTCAGTTTGACCATTTTTGTACTAGAAGTAGGAATTTATGTAAAAACTACATATTTACAATACATTTTTTTGAAGGACCAACCCGTAACAAAATTTATTTTTTAAAAAACATTATTCATAACTCGCTTTACCATTACAATTGCCATTTTAACAAACTACCCGCAAACTATCGAAAAATTACGTAGTTTGATATATAATATATTTTATCAATAAAAATTATGTCCCTAAAATTACATCTTTGTCTCCAAAAAAATATTTTTAGTATTTTAAATTCTAATTTTTAATATATTTGAACTTTTCAATTATAGTATTTTGAAATGTTTGAAAATGTTAAATATGCTCCTGTAACAATGGTTTTAATATTGGTCATATTTATACTGATTTTAAATCATTGTCCAAAATATTTAACCGAGTGTGTTGAGTATTATATTTCCGTTTTGAAAAATTCAAATTGCAACATATGCAAAAAAAAATTAAATTTTTGTTAATTATTTTTATAATATAGTATAATATCATAGGTTAAAAATAATATCAAATAAAAGTTGAAGAAAAATAATAATTGATTAGTTAGAGATTTATTAGGAAATCTTAAAATTAGTTATGGAAATAATATAATTTTAAAATTAGATATAGAAAGTATCCGATGTATGTATCCAAACCCAATTTAATATCCAATTTTGAAGTATCCAATTGTTAAAATCGGATTAATTTTTTAATTTTGGCCCGACCCATATTCTATTTTGTACTTCTCTTTTACTAATATAGGGATTAAAGGCTATCTAACTTTGAGAGTCTTTATTGCCAGACTCAATGATCTTGCATGCTTTTGGGTCGAGCAATATATATATATACCCTCTCGCCAGGGGCGGAGGTAGAGGGTTAGTAATAATTTACAAAAAAAAATTATTTACTTGTATTTTTTAAAACAAAATTCAGAAAATAGATAAATATATGCTTATTGACTCCCATAAAATAGTTAGAATTATGCTTACTGACCCCTACCAAGAAATGTTTTTTAGAGAATTTGATAATTAGATAAAAGTTGATCCCTATAAGAGTAAATTCTACCTCCGCCACTGCCTCTCGCAATCTTGGTGAACAGAGGAAGGGGAGTGCACCTATTGATAGTATTGAATATATTTCTGAACCAATAGCTAATTAAGGTGGACTTAGTTAACTGCTTATGAAAAAGTACTTTCTAGATTTTCGTTATCTAAGATTTAGCATGTAATTAGTAAATTTGGAATTATTGGTTCGCTTTAACATTTCTTCTTGACCATTTTTTTTGTATTAAAAAATGTTTGAGTTTTGAATCATGTTGGAGTTAACACTATGTTTTCTAAAGAAATAGCGTTGATAAAAACCAAAAATTAAACAAAATCTTATTCCAATGAAATTGTTAAATTGTACATATAAAATAGCATTATAGATCATCAAATTCTATCAACTGTAATGAACGACTAAATGATTTCACAAAGTTGTTTTATACCATCTTGTACCAATCATCAAACCGAAACGGCTACACATTTAGAGAATAAATATGACCTGGGGATCTCAAGCACAATATTACGCCACTCCGTCTTACCCCAAATCTCATCTTTATGGCGCTTTTCTAACGCAATCTTAGCGCACCAAATTATAAGATTCGGGTTTTCGCTATGTTCCTCTGGCCGCTGCGTCCACATAACTACAAGTTTCCCACCATAGTTACAGACCACTCTCGTACATGAAAGAAATCCTTCCAAACCCTTGATCTCTCTCCACACCCTACCCTCATAGTCATACCTGTTGGAACTGAATTTTCAGAAAGAAGTTTCTGAAAAATTGCAGATTTTTGACGATGACTTTCCGGCGACTTTCCGGCCAAATTCCGGCCAAACGGCTGAACGGAATTGTGAGCTTGATAGTGCAATGGAAAGGTGGTAACGAGTACTATAAAATGGTATACTCATATGTCAAAAACTGAGTTGAATTGAATGAGAAATAAGGGTGTGAAGTGAGCCACTTGGTCTGATTTTTTGCGAAAAATCCTGAACCAAACCGAACCAAACCAAACCAGTCCTGGCGCGGGCTAATGGGCTTGTGGGCTTGTAGGCTC